GATGGCGTACATTTCCCACTGCGTGAAGTCGTTGTTGACGACGTGGATGTACCCTCGCCGGCAACGCGGCATCCTCTGCACCAGCTTCTCCCCGAAGTGGTTGAACGCTATCGTCACCTTCATCCCCACATTTTATTTTCTTTATCAGAATAATTCTTACAGAAACAACTAAAGAATTGGTGGCATGGAAGTTCACCTGCATTCCGGAGTCCGGCAAGTAGCTGTCGCTGTGACCCAGCAGCATAACCTCATCGTGATGCGAGAAATAATTGTTTGAAATTGTGATTCCGGTGGAGCCCATCACCGCATCAATCAGCCCATCTTTGCAATGCGAGAGGGAGCAATGGTCAATCCATATGTCCTTCGACCCGAAGATCGAGATCCCGTCGCCGTCCGATTTCGTCCGGTACCCGTAATGCGTCGGACTCGACCGGACCATGGTGTTCCCTGCACATCCAGAGCCAGAGCCGAGTAGTTTCAGATCAATCTGCCTGGAAAAACCTGGATCGGGCATTTCGTCGAACACCTGGTGTGCAGGTAGTTTTAGGGTTTTTCGATTTCGTTACCTGATGGATAACAATGGTGGATGTGGATGTTGTGGATGATGACGTTGCTTATGTACTGCAAGGTGATGCAGCCGCCTCCGACGATGTGGACATTGGCGCCGCGTCCGTCGAGGGTTTTGTAGCTGTTGAAGATGAGCTCCTGTGAGAGTTTGATGAGCATGTTGGCCGGGAAGACGATCCAGAGAGGTTGCGGCTGAATCACGGCGTATCGTAATGTTCCGGGCTTTGGATTGACCGGATCGTCGTCGGAGTCGTCTGTCACTATGTAGAACTCGCCGTTCTTTCCGCCGAGAGCGTACTGGCCGAACCCTATCGCGCAGTCGGCGAGGCGCTGCCGGTTGTTGGGCCAATTTGGATCGCATTTCCAGCAGTCGTCGATTGGGTTGCCCGTGTAGCAGGATGAAGATGAAGATTCATCTTTCTCGGAAATTTGGAGCAAGTGCCTTCTCGTTACCGAAGCATTCACTTTCCTACAACAGGTAACAAATTTCCTTTCAACATTGTAGAGATTCAAGGAACATAAGCGTTAAAAACTGATGATATTTGCTAAATTTAATCTGAAAACATGGTCAAATCTGACCAAAAACAACTTTAAATTTGAAAAATCATCAAACAGAAGGATAAACGAAGAATGTAGACAAAAAACAGAGTAGCCAAGAACAGTAGTGAAAGAGAGATTTGAACAGTGTTTTCCTTTGAATCCAACAAAGAACAGTGGATGAAGATTAAGACAGGAAATGGAAAAGGAAAACAGAGGGTGTGAATGGGGTTTCGGAAATGCAAAGATCCATAAACAGAGACGAAGGAGCTGTAGAAACAGTAGATTTGAACAGCATTTTTCTTCTTCTTATGGTGAGACTAAATCTGTAAAATAAAAATGTAGGATAAGATTTAAAAAATAAGTAAAATCTTGAAGAAATCCAACAATGCAGCTAAAAGTTCAAAGAATGGGTGTAAAACATACTAGTTATTAAAAAGAAGCATAATGGAAGAGTAAGATTTAAGCACAAGTTTTGGATTTTTAAGTCTAATAATGTGGCCTAGAAAAACTTGAAACTGAAGAAGAATGTAGAGAAAACCATGCCAAGAAATCAGAGCAACCAAGAACACAGTAGCAAGGAGACCTTGTTAATACATGAAGTCCTACAAAAAGAAGCATAAAAATCTTGAAATAGGCAAGAAAGGTGAGAAAATCAACAATGTAGCTAAAAGTTCCAAAATGCAGACAGTTAAGAGTGAGAGCCAAGCCAAGAACAGGTTATTTCTAGAGTAGCAACTAGCATATTTGGATCTGATATGAAAAATTGATGGACCTGTAAACTTCTTGAGCAACCAGTTCAGGGCTCGGGTGCTGGCCGGGGAGAGTGAAGTTGAGCGCGGCACCGAGTCGGGAGAGGGAGGGAAGTAGGAAAGTTAGCAGCAGAATGCAGGGTGTGGGCAGCATTTTGGAGAGCAAAAATGGAGAGCTCTCTCTGTGAGTCTGCAACTGCGTTTGTTTTCTGTTTGAGTGGAGGACTGTTAACTGTTTTTCTCCATTTTCTTCCTCAAAAGCATTCTCAATTCTGGTTGTGTCTATATAATCATTGTCATAGACTTTTAGGTTTCACAGAGAGAGAGAGAGAACCTATTGTTCTCGAGGAGGAAAGTTGTATGCAATTTACTTTTGCAGGAAACGGATTAATTTCATTTGGATCATTAAACAGTTTAGCCGTGGTCCATGAAGGTTAAAAACATGAATAAAGAGGGATAGAATAAAGTGAGAGGGAACGGGTTCAGTCTCCACGATGACCATCTCCCTTAGGAATTATTTCTATGTGTTTTCTGGCATCAAATATTGTAGAGTCAGACGCTTGTCCCGTGAGATAATCGAGGTGTGTGTAAACCGGCTCAAATCCCACAAAATTCTAAAGTAATTCAAGGGGAGTGGTGAGGTGGCAGAAGATGATTGGGCCGTATAGATAAAGGAACATATGTTTGGTTTGTTTGGAATTGGATAATGCATCCAGCGACGTAAAGAAGTTAATGTGAAGAGAAAGGCGTTTACTTTTTGACTATGAGACTCACTCTTTGAAGATTCGCCTCTTCCATCTGTTGCTCTTCGGCTCTTCTGTTCCTTTAGATTATTATTTCTTTTTTCCCTTTTTCTTTTCTATTTTTTTCCGAGGTGGAAGTGGAAAGGGATATTATTTCTTCTCTTTTGACATTTTTTTTTTTGGAGAAATTTTATTATGTAGTATAAATTTAATATAATGATCCTGGACGCCATAGATCTTCTACACTATCCTTAACGTAGAGAAATATTGTGTGGGCACCTTTCGAGAATGGAAATGTTACTAAGGGTGTTACATTTTTTTTTAAATATAGCATAAGTGTGACTTTGTTTATCATGTTTTATATTACTTTTAAATTTGAGTTTGATTTATATTATGTTATTTCTTAAAAATGTTAAGCTCTCCGCAGTATTTTTAAATACATATTCATTTCCTTTTGTGCTATTTTTGCAATTTCCTCCTTTTTTTTAAAGGTATAGTTTAATGGTAAGAACATGTTATCTTATCAAAATTTTAAGAAATGAGCATTATATTTTTAGTTTTATAATCGTTGTTACTTCTGTTTTTCCCTTAGAAAGTCAACTGTGCAGAGAGATTTGAACTCTTATCTAAACTTAAAATTAAATGAATTTTATCAATTATGTCATTTTAAAGTAGATAAGTATAGATAACTTGGTGATCTTTTGGTTTAAAAAAAGGATTTTTTTTTTCTAATCATATGTTATTTGATAGAAAACTTAGGCATATCAGTAACTTCAATTTTGACCTAATTCAAACATGGCCCACCAAATAAAAGGGGAAATTGGGAAATAAACGTGGCTCACTACTTGGTTTATGTATTTCTAATTTCTTTCCTTCACTACTTGTTTTTCACCATTTTATGTATAAAGAAAATAATTACTTGGGAAAACTTTTTTTTAAAGGAAAAGAACAAAAATTGTAGCCGCCTATGGCGGAGCTAAACAGTAAAAAAAAAAAACAAGCCTTTTCTGCATGCTTTTCTTTTCTACTTTTATTACCGCACTCATTTTGGGACCTACAAATGTGGGAATAACCTTCCAGGTAAAAGTTCTTTTTGATTTAATTTCTATTATGTCCTCTCCAACCAACTCAACTGTACGGATAGTTGGATGCAAAATGTAGTATAGTTTAACGGTAATTTGACATATGTTTTCAATCAAGAAATTGTGAGTTCAATTTTTTACCTCATCCCACATGTTGTACTAAAAAAAATTATATTTTAGAAGCTACCAACACGAGCTTAACTCAGTGGTTAAAATATCCAACTTTTTTTTTGAAGTTGGAGACAAATTCAGCTATACGAGCATTGCTTAACAAAATTATAAAAATATATTTTTAGTCTTTTTTTTTCCTTTTTAGTACAACAAGTGGAAAGATTCGAACTCATAATCTCTTGATCAGATAAATATGTCAACAACGTCACGTAAGATATTTGACATTTTAATCGAATATATATATATATATATATATATATATATGAACCAAGAAGACATATTTGCCGTTGTTAGGTTATTGGGTGGCACGAAAAGTGATATCACCGTTTCCGGCGTATTACAAGGCACGAGCGGGCCAAGGGGAAAACGCGCGCCATCCACTGCAGATTCTTCTCTTCTTTTAACGACATTGCGCCCCACAAAGCAATGGGGTTTTTACCCAAAAACAAAACATAATAAATAAATTTTTTTTTAAGGGAATAGAAAAATATTGGTCAAATTTCAAAAAACCACAAGACTTATATACAATTTAAAATTTTTTATTTCTAAAATAGAAAAATTATTAAGTTAAATCATGTAGTTTGGATATTGTTATTTATTATTACTTCTCAAGAATTAGAATGATATTCTTATTTAGATTATACTTTTATTTAGTTCTTCCTGTTAACATAGCAACATAATGTTGACTTAACTTATTATTGAATTGATATTTGCTTTTAATTAAGAAATATTTAAACCTAAATTAAATTATTGGATGAAATTAAACGTTTTAAAAAATACGCAAACAAAATTGACACAAGCCGAAAAAGAGAAGGACCACAACTATCCGTTTAAAGGTAAAGACTTTTGGACATGGTAAAGGGAAATGTATTTCACTAGTTTACAACCAATTTTTTCCTTTTTTTTTAACAGTTATTATTATTATTTAAATTGGAAATGGGCGAAAACAAATAGGAAAAGTAAAATATTATGTTTGACGACTCAGAGAAATAAATGTAAAAAAAATAATTTTTTTTAAAAAATAGTAAGTTATCAAATTTTCAATGGCGGTGAGAACAAACAAATAAAAAGGTTAAAAATGCATTTTTCAGTAGGGTTAAAATACTATTGTTCTCTTGGGTTTGGTTTATTTTGTTCCCGTATTTTCAAAATTTTCATTTTGATTTCTTACTTCATTTTTTTCCGTTCACTTTAGTCTTTGTACCTTTGAAATGTTTCGATAATTTTAAAAGAGTCCAATTTTTTTCCTATTTACAAAATATTAACCCAAATTTTTTACACATGATAATTCTTTAATACAAATTATAACTACATTTCAAAAAATTTAGTGACGAAAGTGTCATGATAAAACTACGATTAGAAAGAAATGAAATAAAAATGAAAATGAAAATGAAGGATCAAAAAGTGATTTTTAAAGTACAAACCGAATAAACATTTAGTAAATACAATGATTAAAATGAAAAAAAAAACCTTAAAAATACAATAAGACCAAAAATAGTATTTAAATAAAATAAAAAATAAAATCAACTCCCAATATTGAAATGGCCAAACTTTCTTTCTTTTCAACCACTTAAAACTTTTATCATTAACTGAACTAATTAAAAATTAATAATCTTATTTTTTTAAGGTGAACATTTGAATTTCCTCTCTTATATTTGTAGCTTATTCTTGAAAAAAAAAAAGAAAAATCTTTACAGTGCCATATAGAGGAGAGAAAATACACACTTTTTTTTCTTTTTTTTTTTCTTTCAAATGTTAAAGTGTTTTTAAAGAAACCAAAGTTGAGATTCCATCCCTCCATTATGTCACGTAGGAAAGATTCCATTAAGCTTTTGTCAAAGACTTATGAGAGTGACTTTCTTCCCAAGCAGAATTTTGAAGATATGGGAGATCCTACCATATTGAATGATTTCTGTTTTATATTAACTATTATTTTTTATATCAATTTACTTGACGATGATGTTTCTTGTTATATTTCAACTCATTAATGCATTGAAACTTTATTTAAAGTTGGATGTTCAACGATAAATACATAGCTCATTCTCTTGAAGTTGGATGTTCAAATCCACCTATCCCGTATTTGTTGTGATAAAAAAATTTCTTAAAAGTCGTAAATTTGAATATCCACCTTCTTATTTGAATTACAAATGTACGTGGGTTGAAAAATTAAAGTCAATCGTACACCTTAGATATATGGACAATATCATTTCTATATATATTTTAAAATCATAAATTATTACACTTTTAAACGGTTAACATATTTTATCTTTATTGCAACCTTGTGTTACTATATGTTCCATGTTAGTTTTCTTTAGGATAAAAATCAATAGTTTCTTTTGGTACTTAAGTTTTAAAATCTCGTCGTTGCTATAGATTAACAAAACCCTTCCAAATAATATGTATGTACGTACGTATGTGTGTCTATATATATATATGAAACCACCTTCCAAATAATAATTTAATTAGTTTCTATATCTATTTAATGAAAATATGATTTGACATTTTATTTATCGAAAGTTATTTTAAGATTGGTACAACAAAATATAAATATTTTTTTTTTATAAAAATGTGGCAACAGAAGAAACGAATTCAAAATAAAAATTTTGTAATATTCTTCCATTAATTATTCCCCAGCGGATCACAAATATCATGAATATTTTCTTCCTTGATAAGTTAATTTGATGTTGGAAGAGAGAGGGGAGGGAAATTTCATATTTTCCACATTTGGAGAAGATTTGATTTTTTTTTTTTAATTTTGAAAAGAGAGCAGATTTGAATTTGATTGTAATCTTTTGTACTAATCTCATGTGTGACGAATAATTAATATTATCAATTATTGCACCATATATCTAATATTCAACAATAATTTTGGTCTTCCAAAAAGACTTTATTCTACTTAATATCTTTTTTGATCCTATTTATACTTTTTCAAATAATTGAAAGGTTATTATTGAGGTCATTACGACTCGATTTTAATATATATGTCTTTTTCTTTACAAAGTACTGGCTATAGATAATCTAAAACTTTAAGAAAATAAATTTGTTTTTTATATGGTTGAGGATCCAAATTCAAGATCGAAATTCTCATATTATATTATAATATTTTTATTAAAATTTATTAGCCACAATTAAAATGGCAAAAGATTAGCTGGTGTATTATTTCAAAAAAAAAAAAAACTAATTACTTGTCATGAGAAAGCCTGGTATTTTCATTGAATCCTTTTTACATCGTGGAATAATTACACCAGATAGTATGTAGAGAGATGATTTAAAATATTATTGAATCGAAGTTGACCTATATAGTTTTGTGGAACTAAGTCCATCACACTTATTTGGTAGGAACTTTATCGTATAAGCATGTTAAGATCTGCCATGTGGAGGGCTAAGAAATATGAGCATGTTAAGATCTTTCTCTAGATCTCGAAGATATAAAGTGACCGACCTTGAATCCGACCAAGGGGTGACTTGTAAGTTTGGTCAAACTCTACTTGGATGAAGGTAGTACCATGCTCTTACTCAAGGAGCTTGATATAGACTGACCATGTGCAACTGATTTTCCCACAGCACAACTGAATGATCAGACGCCACTGTCACTTGTGACTTTCTATGAATAGAAGCATCATGACCTGAAGTACGCAACCCAACATCAACTTGATAGCATAGATCGGTCTCTTACTAATTTGAGCATTGAAGTGCTTACTTCTTTTTTGCAAATTCTCCCTCACCAAATTTACACTTAAACTCGGTGATACCGATCTCATCGTTTCGCAAATTTAGTCAGAAATCACAGTAAACATCACATATTTATGGAATACATCTTGTGCGATTATAGTGACCCGACCCAACAACATGTTCCTATAAAGAAATAGAAAGAAGAAGCACACAAAGATGATGATAGCTAACCATGTTCCAAAAAAAATAAAGATTTATCCATTGGAAATCTTTTTCCTAAAGAAAATAAAAGTATTAATTATTAATAATAATCATTATTTCTTTTAAAGATTAGGGCCAATAGGAAACATTTTCTAGCTTGATATGGGACCCATTTTGATTTTCTTCACTTTTTGAAATCTTTCCCCTCTTAACGAGAACAAATAGTGAACCTGATTATAACTCAACTCTAGGCATATATATCTCCGACCAAAAGGTCGGTTCAAATCTCCACTCTTGACACTAGTTTCTTTTTCTTAGTACAGTAAATTGGGGTATTGAAGTTTGAATCACTGACTTCAAGAGAATGAGTAAATGTCGATTACTATTAAACTATACTCATGTTGACAATTATAAAGAGACTAATTTGATGTATTTTAAAATACAACGATCATGAAAATTTTACCATGGTTAAAATAAATTTATCATCTCTAATTGCCATCTTTATATTTACTTAATAAAAAGCAAGACATTTCTAATATCATGATGATGTTGTGGTCTTCCTTGATAAGAGAGGAATGGGAAGATGTTAAAAAGGGGAACCTAAATTCTTGGCTTTAGTTAACTATTGAGCACTTTATTATCATTATAATTATTTATTAATTAATTAATTTAAAGTTAAAATGTGGATTTGGTGTTACCAATATACTTGGAAATAAATAAGTAAACAATTATTTTATTTTTGGGAGAAAAGTCCGCATGCTTCTCGTAGTTGTCTCTTCCCCTTTCATAGATTGCGGTGCGGAAAGCTGTCTCTCCCTCACATTTAAAAATATATTTTTAATAAATATTAGATCTAAAATGTTTGGGCCTCATCGACTAATTTCAGTTTGGCCCAATCTGTACTGGGCTAAACGTCAATTATTGGGCTTTGACGAGGCTTACTTCAAGCCCACTATTTCTCTGCTAATAACTGACTTTAAGTTATTGTTAAAACGGACAATTAAAAAAAAAGGGGAAAAAAGCTACTAAAACAAACTTTATATCTTTTTTTTTTCTTTTTTTTAAATCATGTTATTTATTAAACTTAATCTCACACCAAACTTACAAAATTTTAGCATGATATTTGTAGCCATATAAATCCTAATTATAAAATAATTACAAACCTTGTAAAAGTTATAAATATTTTCTATCCACGATTTAGTTGGCATAAAAAAGTGGTTTATCCCTTTAGATGGATGAATGTCCCGAAAAATAGAGGTGAGTATTTCGATACCTCAGTTAGTAATGGTGTTTGATAATGATTAGTAATGTATCTCATAAGAGATTCGAACATATCGGAGTGTTGAGATTCCAGCTTTTTATAGACGGCGGCAGGCAGACAAATTTAGGAATGGGGTCGAGATTCCAGCCTCTCATCACAGAATGGCTAACTTGACGATGGTACTAACTGCGCTTGATCAATC